AGGTTGTAGCAGGGGTGGTCAGGGAGGAGATGAGAGGTTGTAGCAGGGGTGGTCAGGGAGGAGATGAGAGGTTGTAGCAGGGGTGGTCAGGGAGGTGATGGGAGGTGGGAGGAGAAGCAGTCAGGGAGGAGATGGGAGGCGGTAGGAGAAGTGGTCAGAGAGGTGATGGGAGGTGGGAGAAGAGGCAGTTAGGGAGGAGATAGGAGGTGATGGGAGGTGGTAGGAGAGACTGTGGTCAGAGAGGTGATGGGAGGCCGTAGGAGAGGCAGTCAGGGAGGAGATGAGAGGTTGTAGGAGGGGTGGTCAGGGAGGTGATGGGAGGTGGTAGGAGAGGCTGTGGTCAGAGGTGATGGGGAAGGGACAGGATGACAGGATGGAGTTGGGCTTGTTGGCTACTGGTAAGGCCATTGTTTAGAAACTGAGAATCATCACAGGGTCTTAAACAGAGGAGGATTATGATCTGGTTTGTTAGAAAAGAGAACAAGCCCTGCTACGCGTTGTGTAAAGAGAGCAGAGGCAAGGGGGAGGGGAGTGGGCAGGTGAAGAATGCTGGGAGTGCAGGCAGGGCGTGGCCGGAGGAGGCGAGAAGCCATAAGATTCCAGCTATGTCTAGAAGGCGGAGCCAGCAGGACATTTGGATCCCCACTATGAGAGAGGCAAGCCAAAGCTGACAGCAAGGCTGTGACCTCTGTGGGTGGCAGGCACCATCCCTTGGAAGGGAAGGACTCTGGGAGGAGGAACAGGTTGATGGAGAATGAGGAGGTGGGAAGAGGGGGCCCAAAGTTCTGTTCAGGGTAAGTGGGAGATAATTGGTCAACATCCAAATGGGAAGTCAGGTGAGCCCCAGTACACATCTGACGTTTGGGAGGGAAAGGATGCCCAGAGATGCGAACACGAGGGTTGTCGGGTCAAGAATGGAATTCCATGAGACTCGGCAGGACCACTGAAGGGGCGAGTGAGGTTGGAGGTGAACCAGGATCCCCCAGAGTCCTGAAAGCCAAGTGCAGACAGAGTGCCGAGAACACAGGCATGACCAGCTGATTCAGGGGCTTCTGAGGGGGAAGGTGCGGGCCAGGCATTGCCCTTGGGGTTTGGCTGTGTGTTCCTGGAGACCTGGACAAGGAAAGCTTTGGTGGGCAGGGGAAGACAGGTTGGTCTGGGTTTTAGAGAGAAGTGGAGAGAGGAACTGGAAGTGTGGTTTTCAAATTTGTGGAATCAGGCTGGGTGCAGTAGCTCACACCTATAATCCCAACACTCTGGGAGCCGAGGCAGGAAGATTGAGCCCACACGTTTGAGACCAGCCTGGGCAACATAGTGAGACCCCATCTCTACAGGGAAAAAACAACTTTAAAAATTAGCCAGATTGTGATGGCATGCACCTGTGGTCCCAGCTACTGGGGCGGCTGAGGCGGGAGGATCGTTTGAGCCCAGGAGGTCAAAACTGCAGTGAAGAAGTACATTTGGAGATCACAGACCTTCTTGAGACCTACTCATCTTCCCAGAAACTCACACCTGGGCACACAATTTGGCGTCTACTCTCAGGAAGTTCATGGCCCCCATGAAGCCTCAGGGAATGGACCATCTATGTGTAGAAGGCTAGATGTACCCTCTCCTGGGAGGCGGGGGAGATGGGCGGTGGACTGAATAATGGCCCCTGTACATCCTAATCCTCCCAAATCTGATGTTTCCTTATAAGGTAAAAGGGACTTTGCTGAACGTGATTATGTTAGGGATCTTGCCATGGGGTGATTATCCTGATTTATCCTGGAATGGGGGAGGGCCTGTGATGATGGAAGCAGAGACTAGAGATCTTTGAAGGTGGAAGAAGGGGCTGCCAGCCAAGGCGGCTGTTAGAAGCTGAATAAGACAAGGAAATATAATAGATTCTTTCCTCAGGGCCTCCAGGAGGAACCAGCTCTGCTATCCCTGGACTTAAGCCCAGTGAAACTGATTCACACTTCTGGCCTCCAGAACTTTAAGAGGATAAATGTGGCTGGGCATGGTGGCTCATGCCTGTAATCCTAGCACTTTGGGAGGTTGAGGCAGGCAGATCACTTGAGATCAGGAATCTGAGACTAGCCTGGCCAACATGGTGAAACCCCATCTCTACTTAAAAAAAAAAAAAAAAAAAAAAAAGATGGGGGAGTGATAGCACTAGGAGATATACCTAATGTAAATGATGAGTTAATGGGTGCAGCACACCAGCATGGCACATGTATCCATGTGTAACAAACCTGCACGTTGTGCACATGTACCCTAGAACTTAAAGTACAATAAAAAACTATATTTTTATATATATATATATATACAAAAATTAGCTGGGCGTGGTGGGGCATGCCTGTAGTCTCCACTACTCAGGAGGCTGAGGAGTATTGCTTGAATCCAGAGGCGGAGGTTGCAGTGAGCTGGAGATCATGCCACTGCACTCCAGCCTGGGCAACAGAGTGAGACTCTGTCTTAAGGTGGAGAAAAAATGATGTTTTGCAGATTCGTTTTATGCCAAAGTTAAGGTTTCCCAAGCAGCTGGCATGCGTTAGCTAGTCCCTTTTCTTGTCCACTGAATGAACTCAACATTCCTTTAACATTCCACACATGATAACAGCACCTGCTATGTACCAGCTGCAAACGGTACTGAGTTACTTCCTGTGGCCAAGTTCATCTCTAAACTTGGACCCCCGCACCCTTCACCAGGGACCTCATTCCTCTAACTCTTGGCACTCCCTTCTTCTATCTCAGGGTCCAGATTTTGGCTACGTAACTAGAGGGCCCCAAACAGGGGGTGTCAGTGGGCTGGACTCCTTTGGGAACCTGGAAGTGAGCCCCCCGGTCACAGTCGGGGACAAGGAATACCCGCTGGGCAGGATTCTCTTCGGGGACAGCTGTTATCCCAGGTAAGGAGGGGAGTAACAGGAGGGGGCGGCCAGGACCCAGGGAGGCCGTGGAAAAGCAGAGGCCAGAGTGGAAGCCTCACCTACCTGCTTCCGACTCTAGAGGGCGCAACAGGCTTGAGGGAGTATGAGGGGAATCCAAGTACAGGGTGAGGAATGCAGGCTTTGGAGCCCATAGACCCAAGTTCAGTTCCAGCTCTGCCACTTACCCTCTTTCAGTCAGTGAATATTTACTGAGCATCCGGAATGTTCTGGGAGCTGGGAATGCAACCATGGACACGAAAGACAAGTCCTTACCACTACTCTAGTGGGGAAATAGATGATAGAAAAGTAGACAAGATAATTTCAAATAATGACAAAAACAAAAGAGAGGGGCACAGGAGGAAGAGGAAACGTTAGGGTGACCAGAAGGGCCTCTTTGGGGAAGGGGCTTTTGAACTGAGGCCTAATGACAGAAGGGACAGGGCCACATGGAGATCTGGGACAGAGAGTTCCAGGCAGATGAAAGTGCGTGTGCAAAGGCCCTGAGGCAGGAATGAGCTCCTGTGTGCAAGGCCAGGATGGCTAGAACTAATTGAACAAGAAGAAGAGTCTGGGCACAGTGGCTCACGCCTATAATCCCAGCACTTCGGGAGGCTGAGGTGGGTGGATTACCTGAGGTCAGGAGTTTGAGACCAGCGTGACTAACATGAGGAAACCCTGTCTCTACCAAAAATACAAAAATTAGCTGGGCGTGGTGGCACATGCCTGTAA